ATGTAGCATGAGAGTTAAAGACTGTTCTAGTCCTGATGAGCTTTCATTGGACTGTTAAGGGAAGATGTCTGCATGATAAGAGCCAAGCGTTGCAATACAAACATTGGATTGACACGCTGTTATTCAAGAAATGTATACACGCTTTATTATATTGCTGCTAAGATAACATCTCAGATATCGAGCTCTTCAAGGCACTCAAAAAATACGAGATTAATCTATATGTATTGATCGTGTCGTTGAACTTTTCCTCTTCGCTCGTCGTCCCGTTGAACTTTTCCTCTTCGCTCATCGTCCCGTTGAACTTTTCCTCTTCGCTCGTCGTCCCGTTGAACTTTTCCTCTTCGCTCGTCGTCCCGTTGAACTTTTCCTCTTCGCTCATCGTCCCGTTCAACAACTGCTCGTCTACTTCATGGGTATCCAGGAGTACTGAAAAACATTTGAGTCATAAATGATGGACGTCAAGACAATAAATGATGTTCTCTCGACTGAAGTCACAGCATGAATTCTTGGTTACTTAATAAATCCTGTATTTGTGAAAAATGAGCGACGTTGGCAGTGAATTCAGCAACCAAGCATTGATGCATTAACTTAGAAGACATGCAAGTGGTTTGTTTTAGCTCTGACACACGATTAGCTTGACATTGCTGTGTTTCAAATTCAATCATACATTTCACAGATTTCAGATCTGTGACACCACTTTCATGAGACACATGCTGTTGTCTTTTTGGCCTTTAGAGCTCACCTTTGTGCTCATGCTGGACGCCCCCCGTCGAGCCGTTGTTCTGCTGGACGCCCCCCGTCGTGCCGTTGTTCTGCTGGACGCCCCCCGTCGTGCCGTCGTTCTGCTGGACGCCCCCCGACGTGCCGTTGTCCATGGGAACCAGGTTCTGCTGGACACCCCCCGTCGTTGCTTCGCCCCAAATGACAAACCGGTTCTGGACGTCCCCAGTCGTGGAGTCTACCCCAATGACGACCCATTTCTGGACGTCCCCCTCCTTGGCCACTCCCCTAATGACGACCCGGTTCTGGACAGCCTCTGCTGTGGCGGTTTCGCTAATGACGATCAGGTTCTGGACGCCCCCCGTCTTGGCTTTGTCCTTAATGATGACCAAGTTCTGGACGCCCCCCGCCGTGGCGTTTCCTCTAATGACGACCCGGTTCTGGACGTCCTCAGTTGTGGAGTCGCCTCCTATGATGACCCATTTTAGGTCACGCCCCGCAGTGGAATTTCCCCTAATGACGACCCGGTTCTGGACGCCCCCAGTCGTGCCGTTGTCCCTGGTTACGACCTGGTTCTGGACATTTGTTGTCTCGTTGACGCTCTGGGGCTTTTGTTCAGGATTCTGGTGACCAGACGCCTCAGCTTCCACGTCATTGGTTTCCAGTTGTACTGAAAGAAAGAAGGATTGATTAACAAATGAAGAACCAAAAGAAATCACGTGATGTTCTACGTCGACTGAAATCACAGCGTGAATTGTTCTGTAGGTTTCTTTTCATTCTTGCTTTTTTTTAATGTGGCATTTGTTGGATTGAGGACCGTTTTTAAGATCAATTCTCAAAGTTCTTCAATTTGGCACGACATTTCTGAAACGCATGGCATCAACATGCACAATATATCATGGGATGGCCATCAAATACACACATCTGCCCAATTTCAAGTTTTTAAAACCAGTTTAAAGCATTATCCCCCCATAGTGTTCCTCAAGGGCTGGGGGTCTTCACTTGGTATAAGACATACAGAGATCATAATGTTTGAAACCCTTTTATACACGGTTTAAATATCTTGAGTTCATCTCATATTTCCCAGCTTTCAGATCCACCACTTTAATGCGGCACATACTGTTGACCTTTGAGCCTGTAGGGCTCACCTTCTCTAGCATCTCGGTCTAACATGGACTCCATCGACTGGAGAGGTGCAAAGGCTTTCTTTAAGGAGATCTCATTGGCAGACAGATCTGTAGGACACATTATAATGAAAGGTTTAGTGTCAGACAGAGAGAAGAAACACTTCATACAATCAAATGTGTTCAACTCTCAGTCTCCTCTGCAGCTTCTATTCACCAGCTGGAAGAGCAGAGACTGTGGACAGGAAACATGCTGTTCAATCAAACATTATTCCTTCATCTTCAATACAATTATCAAACAGGTAAATACCTCTGGCCAGACAAACAGTCAGCACACAGACGAGCATCCAAACAGCTGCCATCTCTGCAGTTTTCCAAGAGAGTGTTGCCTGAGCAGCAGCCAGCTTTAAAGAAGCCTCCAGCAGCTGCTGCTGATCAGCACTGATTGGCTCTCTGCACAGAGGAACACACCATTTCTCTGAGAGTACACTCTGACAATGAGCAGCTTTTCATGGAGCTTGTTGTGCATGTATGATTAGTAGAGACCATCATTTTAAATTCACATTAAATATATTAAATATTCATATATTGAGTTTTTACTTTTCTCCCTTTTACAGACATGCCAACTTTATATCAATCCCACCCATTACAAATCGTATATCTTATATTTAAACATGTGTGCATGATTAGGGCCGAACCTTTCTAGACATATATATATATATAAATACATATATATATATGTCTAGACAAATATATATATACAATCTGATACTAGGTAAAAACTCTGAAAAAGCTCCATTAAATATGTTTTGAAAATACCCTTCCTCTTCAGAAAACAAAAAATGTAATACAAAATAAATAAATAACATTAACAACTCCCTCCTGTAATACTTGATTCTGATTGGTCGATTCGAACATTTCAGAGGTTGTGTATACCTGTTGACACACTGCTGTAAAACACAACATGCACATTTGCTTATTCCTTGCAAAATATTAAAATAAAATGGGCAAAAATATAACTTATACTGCTCAGGATAAACATTTAAAGTGCTGTAAAGCAGAAGTACTTCAAATAAAACAGTTGTTCCAATGCTACCTGGAACAGGAAGAAGCACAGCTACGGGATTTAATGAGTCTTCCTCGTAAATGTCTCGTCATTTTGGCGAATTTATGTTGTTATCAATATGGGAGGCTGTGGCTCAGTGGAGAGTGTGCTGGACTTCGAATCAGGGGATAGCAAGTTCGATTCCCACTGCAGTCAGCATGTCGTTGTGTCCCTGAGACACTTCACCCCAAACTGCTCCTGTGGGGATTGTTCACAGAACTGACTGTATGTTAGTCACTTTGGATAAAAGCGTCTAACAAATGACATGTAACGTAATAAAGCAATTTTCTATCGTGCTGATTTACAGTTGTAGGGTTTTTTCTCCACTAATTGGATCTGTTTCTTAGTAGAAACCAGGCAGCTGGATATGGTTATAAAAACAAGGCAAATACAGAACATGTCCTAAAGTTGTAGAGACAGGTTTAAATGATTGTGCATCCTTGATGGGAAAACCATGTTTTTATTCTCGAGTCTTTGTTAATATTTATTTTTATTGCAATAGTTGTACATTATTGATGTTAAAGTGGACCTATCATGCTATATTATAATAATATAGTGTAGGACCATACCTATATAAGGTATATTTATACTTTCTTTTTTTCAAAATACCAAACAGATCATGCATTTTAGCCATGCCTCATTTCGCTCAATTTGCACTTTTTTTTGCTCTGTTTTAGCAAGGGCAGATTCAGTGAGAACAGCACCATCTACAGGCCTGGCATATGTACTACAGCGTCTCCAGCGCTTTCGAACGGCAATGGCCGTGGCTGTCTCCTCCTGATTGGTGGAGTTGGCCCAATAGCCGTAGCGCCACCGTCCTGACGTCAGGACAGTGTTCAAATCTGGATCAGTTTTTATCAGATCCGTTGCAGCCCCTTTTTTAGAGATTTGGGTATGGAGGAAAATAGAGAGGGTTGTGTTTTCTGACACTTGGTGAGTTCCCTGGAACACCGGGGACACATATTCATGTAGAAAAGACGTACAAAAGTGCATTTTGCATGATAGGTCCCCTTTAAGTAGACGGCATATTCCACTTATCGGATGTGTTAAGTAGAAAACCTGCAGGAGGATATGGTTATTTCTAAAATGTGAGATTTATTTCTGGAAAATACAGACGAGAATATTTCTGGAGAACTACTTAAAACATTTTATATTATACATTTCTCAAAATAAGAAACTTTAAAATAAACATTGTTAAAATCCCTTTAAATGAGAAAAACATTTTTAAATTAACTCTCAAAATAAGAATGTTTAAAATAACATTAAACTTAATAAAAACCTGTTTTTAAAATGCTACTTGGACGAATACAGGAATGGGAAGAAGCACACCTTCGATTTACAAACTACGAGACTTCAGAAAACATTCAAAGGTCCTCGCTAATGTGTCGTTATGTTTGGCAAATGTAAGTTATTAATAAAGCATTTTTTAACGGTGCTGATTTCAGTTAGCAGCAGGATATGGTTATTTTAGAAATGTGTGTTTCTATCTGGCAAATACAGATTGAAAATAAATGCTAAAGAGAAACTGAACATTTATATTTTGAGTGACAGGTTTAGAAGATTGAGAAACCCTGAATTGGGTTTACCAAGTTTATATTCTTGACTTTTCTTTTGAGTCTAAATTGTTATAGACCACCTTTTTAGCATCTTGTTATAGTCCAGCACAGAGAAGTGCATACTTCAGACTAACCTGCAATAAAGGCTGCATTTGGAAGGATGGCAAGGTTTTCTAATGAACATTTCTCAAAACATTGCACGTTTAATCTTCTCCCTTTTACTGACATGACCAATGTATGCTAATCCTATGTAGCATGAGAGTTAAAGACTGTTCTAGTCCTGATGAGCTTTCATTGGACTGTTAAGGGAAGATGTCTGCATGATAAGAGCCAAGCGTTGCAATACAAACATTGGATTGACACGCCGTTATTCAAGAAATGTATACACGCTTTATTATATTGCTGCTAAGATAACATCTCAGATATCGAGCTCTTCAAGGCACTCAAAAAATGCGAGATTAATCTATATGTATTGATCGTCTCGTTGAACTGTTCCTCTTCGCTCGTCGTCTCGTTGAACTGTTCCTCTTCGCTCGTCGTCTCGTTGAACTGTTCCTCTTCGCTCGTCGTCTCGTTGAACTTTTCCTCTTCGCTCGTCGTCCCGTTGAACTTTTCCTCTTCGCTCGTCGTCCCGTTGAACTTTTCCTCGTCGGTCATCGTCCCGTTCAACAACTGCTCGTCTACTTCATGGGTATCCAGGAGTACTGAAAAACATTTGAGTCATAAATGATGGACGTCAAGACAATAAATGATGTTCTCTCGACTGAAGTCACAGCATGAATTCTTGGTTACTTAATAAATCCTGTATTTGTGAAAAATGAGCAACGTTGGCAGTGAATTCAGCAACCAAGCATTGATGCATTAACTTATAAGACATGCAAGTGGTTTGTTTTAGCTCTGACACACGATTAGCTTGACATTGCTGTGTTTCAAATTCAATCAAACATTTCACAGATTTCAGATCTGTGACACCACTTTCATGAGACACATGCTGTTGTCTTTTTGGCCTTTAGAGCTCACCTTTGTGCTCATGCTGGACGCCCCCCGTCGAGCCGTTGTTCTGCTGGACGCCGCCCGTCGTGCTGTTGTTCTGCTGGACACCCCCCGTCGTGCCGTTGTTCTGCTGGACGCCCCCCGTCGTGCCGTTTTTCTGCTGGACACCCCCCGTCGTTGCTTCGCCCCAAATGACAAACCGGTTCTGGACGTCCCCAGTCGTGGAGTCTACCCCAATGACGACCCATTTCTGGACGTCCCCCTCCTTGGCCACTCCCCTAATGACGACCCGGTTCTGGACAGCCTCTGCTGTGGCGGTTTCGCTAATGACGATCAGGTTCTGGACGCCCCCCGTCTTGGCTTTGTCCTTAATGATGACCAAGTTCTGGACGCCCCCCGCCGTGGCGTTTCCTCTAATGACGACCCGGTTCTGGACGTCCTCAGTTGTGGAGTCGCCTCCTATGATGACCCATTTTAGGTCACGCCCCGCAGTGGAATTTCCCCTAATGACGACCCGGTTCTGGATGCCCTCCGTCGTGCCGTTGTCCCTGGTTACGACCTGGTTCTGGACATTTGTTGTCTCGTTGACGCTCTGGGGCTTTTGTTCAGGATTCTGGTGACCAGACGCCTCAGCTTCCACGTCATTGGTTTCCAGTTGTACTGAAAGAAAGAAGGATTGATTAACAAATGAAGAACCAAAAGAAATCACGTGATGTTCTACGTCGACTGAAATCACAGCGTGAATTGTTCTGTAGGTTTCTTTTCATTCTTGCTTTTTTTAATGTGGCATTTGTTGGATTGAGGACCGTTTTTAAAATCAATTCTCAAAGTTCTTCAATTTGGCGCGACATTTCTGAAACGCATGGCATCAACATGCACAATATATCATGGGATGGCCATCAAATACACACATCTGCCCAATTTCAAGTTTTTAAAACCAGTTTAAAGCATTATCCCCCCCATAGTGCTCCTCAAGGGCTGGGGGTCTTCACTTGGTATAAGACATACAGAGATCATAATGTTTGAAACCCTTTTATACACGGTTTAAATATCTTGAGTTCATCTCATATTTCCCAGCTTTCAGATCCACCACTTTAATGCGGCACATACTGTTGACCTTTGAGCCTGTAGGGCTCACCTTCTCTAGCATCTCGGTCTAACATGGACTCCATCGACTGGAAAAGTGCAAAGGCTTTCTTTAAGGAGATCTCATTGGGAGACAGATCTGTAGGACACATTATAATGAAAGGTTTAGTGTCAGACAGAGAGAAGAAACACTTCATACAATCAAATGTGTTCAACTCTCAGTCTCCTCTGCAGCTTCTATTCACCAGCTGGAAGAGCAGAGACTGTGGACAGGAAACATGCTGTTCAATCAAACATTATTCCTTCATCTTCAATACAATTATCAAACAGGTAAATACCTCTGGCCAGACAAACAGTCAGCACACAGACGAGCATCCAAACAGCTGCCATCTCTGCAGTTTCCCAAGAGAGTGTTGCCTGAGCAGCAGCCAGCTTTAAAGAAGCCTCCAGCAGCTGCTGCTGATCAGCACTGATTGGCTCTCTGCACAGAGGAACACACCATTTCTCTGAGAGTACACTCTGACAATGAGCAGCTTTTCATGGAGCTTGTTGTGCATGTATGATTAGTAGAGACCATCATTTTAAATTCACATTAAATATATTAAATATTCATATATTGAGTTTTTACTTTTCTCCCTTTTACAGACATGCCAACTTTATATCAATCCCACCCATTACAAATCGTATATCTTATATTTAAACATGTCTGCATGATTAGGGCTGAACCTTTCTAGACATATATATATTTATATGTCTAGACATATATATTTATATATATATATATATATATATATATATATATTAGGGCTTCAGTCGATTAAAATATTTAATCGCGATTAATCGCAAATTAATCGCACATTTTTTATCTGTTCTAAATGTACCTTAGAGGGATATCTTTCAAGTTTTTAATACTCTTATCAACATATGAGTGGACAAATATGCTTTATATGTTTATTTATTATCATTTGAACAATGACAAATATTCTCATGAATATTAAACACAACAACCTGAACATTACAAATATTCGCCTCAATTCAACCTGGAACCTCTCTCATACAATAATACTGTGTGTGTGTGTGTGTGTGTGTGTGTGTGTGTGTGTGTGTGTGTGTGTGTGTGTGTGTGTGTGTGTGTGTGTGTGTGTGTTTGTGTGTGTGTGTGTGTGTGTGTGTGTGGGGGTGTGGGTGTGGGTGTGTGTGTGTGTGTGTGTGTGTGTGTGTGGGTGTGTGTGTGTGTGTACTGTGATGGATCGTTGGACCTATGTGCAGCTCAAGGCATATATGCTCAAATGGGAGCTGCCTGGACGCTGCAATCATGTTGCGCGTACTATCCGTGCTGAGTGTGCTGACTTTTCGTACAATGTCCCACTGTCTGGCTACCTGCATAAAGTCAAGTGCTCGGCGCAGTTGTCGGCGAAATGTCATTGAAACAGCTCCTTATATCCGTTAGCGCAGCTAGCTAGCACCAGATGCTAACAACAACAACAACAACACGTAAGGTGTGCCTCGCTCGCGCGAGTCGCGCCACACAAACACACTTCCTCCCGGTCCTCCCGATGGCCAGTCCGGGCCTGCCGGTGAGCGTGGAAGTGTGGTCTGCCACAAGTGGGCGGCAGGAGTGGGGCTGACAGCATCAGCTTGTAGATGGTATTTTACACTCGATGCGCTCTGAAACTACGGGGCGGCCGAGGACAAAAAATACACATGCGTTAATCGCGTTAAAATAATTAGTGGCGTTAATTTTTTTTTGCGTTAACGCGTTATTAACGCGTTAACTTGACAGCCCTAATATATATATATATATATATATATATATATATATATATATCTCTAGACACATATATATATATATATACAATCTGATACTGGGTAAAAACTCTGAAAAAGCTCCATTAAATATGTTTTGAAAATACCCTTCCTCTTCAGAAAACAAAAAATGCAATACAAAATATTCAAATAAAATGGGCAAAAATATAACTTATACTGCTCAGGATAAACATTTAAAGTGCTGGAAAGCAGAAGTACTTCAAATAAAACAGTTGTTCCAATGCTACCTGGAACAGGAAGAAGCACAGCTACGGGATTTAATGAGTCTTCCTCGTAAATGTCTCGTCATTTTGGCGAATTTATGTTGTTATCAATATGGGAGGCTGTGGCTCAGTGGAGAGTGTGCTGGACTTCAAATCAGGGGATAGCAAGTTCGAGTCCCACTGCAGTCTGCATGTCGTTGTGTCCCTGAGACACTTCACCCCAAACTGCTCCTGTGGGGATTGTCCACAGAACTGAATGTATGTTAGTCGCTTTGGATAAAAGCGTCTAACAAATGACATGTAACGTAATAAAGAAATTTTCTATCGTGCTGATTTACAGTTGTAGGGTTTTTTCTCCACTAATTGGATCTGTTTCTTAGTAGAAACCAGGCAGCTGGATATGGTTATAAAAACAAGGCAAATACAGAACATGTCCTAAAGTTGTAGAGACAGGTTTAAATGATTGTGCATCCTTGATGGGAAAACCATGTTTTTATTCTCTGGTCTTTGTTAATTTTTATTTTTATTGCAATAGTTGTACATTATTGATGTTAAAGTGGACCTATCATGCTATATTTGAATAATATAGTGTAGGACCATACCTATATAAGGCATATTTATACTTTCTTTTAAAAAAAATACCAAACAGATCATGCATTTTAGCCATGCCTCATTTCGCTCAATTTGCACTTGTTTTTGAAAGGGCAGATTCAGTGAGAACAGCACCACCTACAGGCCTGGCATATGTACTACAGCGTCTCCAGCGCTTTCGAACGGCAATGGCCGTGGCTATCTCCTCCTGATTGGTGGAGTTGGCCCAATAGCCGTAGCGCCACTGTCCTGACGTCAGGACAGTGTTCAAATCTGGATCAGTTTTTATCAGATCCGTTGCAGCCCCTTTTTTAGAGATTTGGGTATGGAGGAAAATAGAGAGGGTTGTGTTTTCTGACACTTGGTGAGTTCCCTGGAACACCGGGGACACATATTCATGTAGAAAAGACGTACAAAAGTGCATTTTGCATGATAGGTCCCCTTTAAGTAGACGGCATATTCCACTTATCGGATGTGTTAAGTAGAAAACCTGCAGGAGGATATGGTTATTTCTAAAATGTGAGATTTATCTCTGGAAAATACAGACGAGAATATTTCTGGAGAACTACTTAAAACATTTTATATTATACATTTCTCAAAATAAGAAACTTTAAAATAAACATTGTTAAAATCCCTTTAAATGAGAAAAACATTTTTAAATTAACTCTCAAAATAAGAATGTTTAAAATAACATTAAACTTAAAAAAAACCTGTTTTTAAAATGCTACTTGGACGAATACAGGAATGGGAAGAAGCACACCTTCGATTTACAAACTACGAGACTTCAGAAAACATTCAAAGGTCCTCGCTAATGTGTCGTCATGTTTGGCAAATGTATGTTATTAATAAAGCATTTTTCAGTCGTGCTGATTTCATTTTGCAGGTTATTCTTTCCACTTATTGGTTCTGTTTCTTTGTAGGAAACAGCAGGATATGGTCGTTTAGAAAATACATATGAGAATATTTCTGAACTAAGAACTATTTAAAACTTTGTATAATTCATACGTTTCTCAAAATAATAAACTTTAAAATAATAAACATTGTTAAAATGCTACCTGGACCGGCACAGGAACGGGAAGAATCATCCGGGATTTACAAATTAAGAGACTTCACAAAACGTTCAAAATGTCCTCACAAATGTCTCGTCATGTTTGGCGAGTTTATGTTATCAATAAAGCAATTTTTCAGTCGTGCTGATTTAAGTTTTTTTGTCACAAGGTTATTTTTTCCACTTATTGGATCTGTTTCTTTCAAAATAATAAACTTTAAATGTTTTTGATGCTACCGGTACAAGAACGGGAAGGAGCACACCTACGGGATTGACTAGTTCTGAGACTCTAGAAAAACCCTTAAAATGTCCTCTCAAATATGTCGTCATGTTTGGCGAATTTGTGTTATAAATAAAGCATTTTTCAGTCGTGCAGATTTCATTTTGCAGGTTATTTTGACCACTTATTGGATCTGTTTCTTTGTAGGAAACAGGCAGGATATGGCCATTTAAAAAATGTGAGATTTATCTCTGGAAAATGCAAACAAGAATATTTCTGACCTAAGAACTATTTAAAACATTTAATTAATGCAAAACTTTCTCAAAAGAAACTTTAAATTACATTTTTTTTTTTTAAAGAAACTTGAAATAAGAAACTTAAACTAAAATAAAACTGTTTTTCAAATGCTACCTGGACAGTTACAGGAACGGGAAGAAGCACAGCTACGGGATTTAATGAGTCTTCAGAAAACATTCAAAATGTCCTCGCTAATGTGTCGTCATTTTGGTGAATTTAAAGCATTTTTTAACGGTGCTGATTTCAGTTGTCAGCAGGATATGGTTATTTTAGAAATGTGTGTTTCTATCTGGCAAATACAGAATGAAAATAAATGCTGAAAAGAAACATTTATTTTTTTGAGTGACAGGTTTAGAAGATTGAGAAACCCTGAATTGGGTTTACCAAGTTTATATTCTTGACTTTTCTTTTGAGTCTAAATTGTTATAATAGACCACCTTTTTAGCATCTTGTTATAGTCCAGCACAGAGAAGTGCATACTTCAGACTAACCTGCAATAAAGGCTGCATTTGGAAGGATGGCAAGGTTTTCTAATGAACATTTCTCAAAACATTGCACGTTTAATCTGCTCCCTTTTACTGACATGACCAATGTATGCTAATCCTATGTAGCATGAGAGTTAAAGACTGTTCTAGTCCTGATGAGCTTTCATTGGACTGTTAAGGGAAGATGTCTGCATGATAAGAGCCAAGCGTTGCAATACAAACATTGGATTGACACGCTGTTATTCAAGAAATGTATACACGCTTTATTATATTGCTGCTAAGATAACATCTCAGATATCGAGCTCTTCAAGGCACTCAAAAAATACGAGATTAATCTATATGTATTGATCGTGTCGTTGAACTTTTCCTCTTCGCTCGTCGTCCCGTTGAACTTTTCCTCTTCGCTCATCGTCCCGTTCAACAACGGCTCGTCTACTTCATGGGTATCCAGGAGTACTGAAAAACATTTGAGTCATAAATGATGGACGTCAAGACAATAAATGATGTTCTCTCGACTGAAGTCACAGCATGAATTCTTGGTTACTTAATAAATCCTGTATTTGTGAAAAATGAGCGACGTTGGCAGTGAATTCAGCAACCAAGCATTGATGCATTAACTTAGAAGACATGCAAGTGGTTTGTTTTAGCTCTGATACGTGATTAGCTTGACATTGCTGTGTTTCAAATTAAATCATACATTTCACAGATTTCAGATCTGTGACACCACTTTCATGAGACACATGCTGTTGTCTTTTTGGCCTTTAGAGCTCACCTTTGTGCTCATGCTGGACGCCCCCCGTCGTGCCGTTGTTCTGCTGGACGCCCCCCGTCGAGCCGTTGTTCTGCTGGACGCCCCCCGTCGTGCCGTTGTTCTGCTGGACACCCCCCGTCGTTGCTTCGCCCCAAATGACAAACCGGTTCTGGACGTCCCCAGTCGTGGAGTCTACCCCAATGACGACCCATTTCTGGACGTCCCCCTCCTTGGCCACTCCCCTAATGACGACCCGGTTCTGGACAGCCTCTGCTGTGGCGGTTTCACTAATGACGATCAGGTTCTGGACGCCCCCCGTCTTGGCTTTGTCCTTAATGATGACCAAGTTCTGGACGTCCCCCGCCGTGGCGTTTCCTCTAATGACGACCCGGTTCTGGACGTCCTCAGTTGTGGAGTCGCCTCCTATGATGACCCATTTTAGGTCACGCCCCGCAGTGGAATTTCCCCTAATGACGACCCGGTTCTGGATGCCCCCCGTCGTGCCGTTGTCCCTGGTTACGACCTGGTTCTGGACATTTGTTGTCTCGTTGACGCTCTGGGGCTTTTGTTCAGGATTCTGGTGACCAGACGCCTCAGCTTCCACGTCATTGGTTTCCAGTTGTACTGAAAGAAAGAAGGATTGATTAACAAATTAAGAACCAAAAGAAATCACGTGATGTTATACGTCGACTGAAATCACAGCGTGAACTGTTCTGTAGGTTTCTTTTCATTCTTGCTTTTTTTTAATGTGGCATTTGTTGGATTGAGGACCGTTTTTAAGATCAATTCTCAAAGTTCTTCAATTTGGCACGACATTTCTGAAACGCATGGCATCAACATGCACAATATATCATGGGATGGCCATCAAATACACACATCTGCCCAATTTCAAGTTTTTAAAACCAGTTTAAAGCATTATCCCCCCATAGTGTTCCTCAAGGGCTGGGGGTCTTCACTTGGTATAAGACATACAGAGATCATAATGTTTGAAACCCTTTTATACACGGTTTAAATATCTTGAGTTCATCTCATATTTCCCAGCTTTCAGATCCACCACTTTAATGCGGCACATACTGTTGACCTTTGAGCCTGTAGGGCTCACCTTCTCTAGCATCTCGGTCTAACATGGACTCCATCGACTGGAGAGGTGCAAAGGCTTTCTTTAAGGAGATCTCATTGGCAGACAGATCTGTAGGACACATTATAATGAAAGGTTTAGTGTCAGACAGAGAGAAGAAACACTTCATACAATCAAATGTGTTCAACTCTCAGTCTCCTCTGCAGCTTCTATTCACCAGCTGGAAGAGCAGAGACTGTGGACAGGAAACATGCTGTTCAATCAAACATTATTCCTTCATCTTCAATACAATTATCAAACAGGTAAATACCTCTGGCCAGACAAACAGTCAGCACACAGACGAGCATCCAAACAGCTGCCATCTCTGCAGTTTCCCAAGAGAGTGTTGCCTGAGCAGCAGCCAGCTTTAAAGAAGCCTCCAGCAGCTGCTGCTGATCAGCACTGATTGGCTCTCTGCACAGCAACTACAACAAATAACAAGCCCTCCCCCCGACACACAAAGATCTTTATTAACATTTTATATTGTTGCCTAAAAACAATTTCACACAAGGTAAAAACTCTGAAAAAGTTCCATTAAAAACAATAAAAAAATAATAGAAATTATGCAAAAATATCCCTCCTCTTCAGATAACAAGAAATTCAATTAAAACATTTTACAACCCCCTTCCCAAAACACATATTTTGTAGAAGAAAAAAAACAGGGTTATTCTGCTTTTCAGCACTTTACATGTTTATCCTGAGCAGTATAAGTTATATTTTTGCCCATTTTATTTCAATATTTTGCAAGGAATAAGCAAATGTGCATGTTGTGTTTTACAGCAGTGTGTCAACAGGTATACACAACCTCTGAAATGTTCGAATCGACCAATCAGAATCAAGTATTACAGGAGGAGTCTGCCTATTTTAGTGGAATCTCCTGGAACGGTGGCCGGGGCTGTAGCAGCAGTATCTCATGGTGGAGGCCGTGTTGGTGTTACTCCAGGTGTTCAGAGTGCTACGGAACAGGCAAAACTTTTCAACATGCCTCAGTTTGACTCGTTTTCGGCAGGGTCCTCACCTACGGGGTCTAAATTAGATGCCAGGGTAAAAGTGCGTATGGCTCGTCTCCAGTGGGAGAAGGAGGAGCGTGATAGGGATTTTCAGCTCAGGAGGGAGCTGGAGATCAGGAAGTTGGAGGCAGACACTGCTGTCCGGATGCGTCAGTTAGAGCTTCAGGCAGCTGGGGGGGGTGATTCTGCCGTTACATCGTCTGGTCCTGCTGCCTCCTTCGACGTGAGTAGGCATATTTCTTTGGTCCCTGTGTTTCGTGAATCAGAGGTGGAGATCTATTTTGGTGCATTTGAGCGCATTGCTGCTGCTCTGCGCTGGCCAGAAGACGTGTGGGCTATTCTTTTACAGTGTAAGCTAGTCGGCAAGGCTCAAGAAGCTTGCTCTTCTCTTTCTGTCGAGGATAGTTTAGTGTATGAGAATGTTAAAGGTGCTGTTCTCAGGGCATATGAGCTTGTGCCTGAGGCCTACAGGCAGCGTTTTCGCGGCCTGAAGAAAACTTCTGGCCAAACTTACGTGGACTTCGCGAGGGAGAAGAAAGTCCTCTTTGACAGGTGGTGTAGAGCTTGTAAAGCTGATGACATTACTTCAGTGTGTGAGCTGATGATGTTAGAGGAGTTTAAAAACTGTGTACCTGAGCGTACGGTAGTCTACCTGAACGAGCAGAAAGTAACTACACTTCAGCAGGCTGCCACTCTGGCAGACGAGTTTGCATTGATACACAAGAGCGTTTTTTTTCAGCGTGATCCTCTTCAGCGAGACACTTATCGTAGAGCTCCTGACAATTACGTTCCCTGTGCCAGTGTTCCAGTGTTAGATCCCAGGCTAAACAGAGCTTGTTTTTTTTGTCATGACCCAGGTCATGTGATAGCAGCCTGTGCTGCTTTGAAGCGAGAGCGGGCAGCAGGTGGCAAGCAACCAAAAGGGGTGGGCTTGATTAAAACAGTGTGTCCTAGTGGTCAGACCACTGTTAAAACGGGGCCTGATGAGTGTTTTAAGCCGTTCATCTCTACTGCTTTTGTCTCTCTATCAGGGAAGGTGGATGACCAGCGGCAGGTTACGGTGTTACGAGACAGTGGTGGTTCACAGTCGTTCATTCTTGCCAGTGCTCTGCCCTTGAGTACTGAGTCCGCCTGTGATGCAAGTGCCGTGGTAAGAGGTATCGAAATGGGTTTTGTGCCCGCACCTCTCCACAATGTCCATATCCAGTCCAAACTGGCTACTGGTTTCTTCACAGTTGCCGTACTCCCCAGGTTTCCAATCGACGGTGTGGATTTCATAATGGGAAACGATATAGCCGGAGGTAAAGTGTATCCTACTCCAGAGGTTGTTGACATTCCAGTTCCTGGTGCTGTAGATGATAACCTATCACTGACTCATCCGGAGGTATTTGCAGTTAGTGTTTTGACCAGAGCTCAGGCCCGTAAGCAGGCTCAGGATGTGGATTTGTCTGATTCTTGCCTTGTTTCTGCCCTATCTAATGACAGGTTGACCTCTGTTGATGGATTAGTGGAGGGTCCTCCAACAGTGTGTGATGGTGAAATGGAACCTATCGCTATTGCTCCAGAGGTGGCTATGCCTTTGACCCGTGAGGCGCTCATCACGGCACAGAGAGATGATCCTACCTTGATCAAGTGTTTCAACGCTGCTGAGAACCCTAACGAATGCAATAAGAAACAGTTGTTTTTTGTGGATGATGGGGTGCTGATGCGCCGGTGGGCTGACCAATCAAGTGATGCAGAATTTGGTTCAGGTGTTGATTGGAACAGCGTTTATCAGTTAGTGGTTCCTGTGAGTTGGCGGCAGCAGGTTCTGGCGTTAGCACATGAGCACTTGTGGTCTGGCCACTTAGGTGTGACTAAGACTTATGACCGGATCCTTCAACATTTCTTTTGGCCAGGATTGAAAGATGACGTAGTGTGTTTCTGTAGATGCCAGGTGGTGGGTAAACCAAATCAGGTAGTTCCCCCAGCGCCGTTGTGTCCTGTTCCGGCTATGGGTGCGCCTTTCGACCATATCATTGCTGACTGTGTCGGTCCGTTGCCGAAGACCAAGGCAGGTAATCAGTTTTTGCTGACTGTGATGTGTGTATCGACCCGTTTCCCTGAGGCTATCCCTTTGCGTAAAATCACTGCACCCGCCATCATTAAAGCACTGACCAAGTTTTTTACCACCTTTGGGTTGCCGAAGGTTGTGCAGACTGATCAGGGAACTAACTTCCTTTCCAAGATTTTTAGACAAACCTTGCAGTCATTGGGTGTTTCCCATTCAGTATCTAGTGCCTACCATCCAGAATCACAAGGGGCACTTGAGCGTTGGCATCAGACATTGAAGTTGATGCTTGGTAAATACTGCCATAACACAGGCAGGGACTGGGATGAGGGTGTTCCCTTCGTGTTATTTGCTATTCGTGATGCAAAGCAGGAGTCTATTGGGTTTAGCCCAGCTGAACTAGTGTTTGGGCACAATGTGCGTGGCCCATTAAAGATGCTGAAAGATAAATTGATGTCTGAGTTCCTTCCGAAAACTGATGTGAAGAAGTTTGTGTCCCAGTGTCGTGAGCATTTACAACAGGCGACTAAGCTAGCAAGGGAAGCTCTTGCATCCTCGCAGGAAAACATGAAGAACAGGTACGATAGGAGAGCAGTTAAGCGGCAGTTTCAGCCTGGTGAGCAGGTGCTGGTGTTGCTGCCTACACCCGGATCTGCTCTCAACGCGCGTTTCTCAGGTCCGTATGTGGTTGTAAGGCAAGTGTCTGACACCAACTATATCATTGACACACCTGAGCGTAGGAGAAAAACAAGGTTGTGCCATGTTAACATGCTTAAGTCCTATCATGCTAGGGAAGCCTCCCAGGGGAAGCAGCAACGCACTGTGGTGACTGCTGTTCCCAGCGTGGCCACTTCCCTAGCCTGTGCATTGTCGATGGTTGAGGATGATTTGATAGTGCCCTCTGGTGGTCAGCAGTGTGGTAGGTTATCGAACTCTGAGTTTATGTTGAGCTTAGAGTCTAACCTGGCGTATCGTTGTCACATAGAGAAAAGGGAGAAAATGAAAAAGGAAGTGGATTATCTGCTTGAAAATGGCTTAGCCAAGCCTAGCCACAGCCCCTGGAGCAGTCCATGTTTGCTTGCTCCTAAATCTGACGGAACACCGCGTTTCTGCACCGATTTTCGCAAGCGACTTGCAGGAGCCTCGCTAACAGTGAATCTGGCAAAGTGTGAGTTTGGCCGATGTACTGTCCCGTGGGTGAGATTTCAAGATTCATGTCCAATAGTCTGAGTGTTTTTGGTAACTGTGGCCAAACACTCGTGGGGTTATTTTGTATTGCATTTTTTGTTTTCTGAAGAGGAAGGGTATTTTCAAAACATATTTAATGGAGCTTTTTCAGAGTTTTTACCTAGTACCAGATTGTATAAATATATGTGTCTAGAGATATATATATTTATATATATTTATATATAAATATATATGTCTAGACATATATATTTATATATATATAAATATATATGTGTCTAGAAAGGTTCAGCCCTAATCATGCAGACATGTTTAAATATAAGATATACGATTTGTAATGGGTGGGATTGATATAAAGTTGGCATGTCTGTAAAAGGGAGAAAAGTGAAAACTCAATATATGAATATTTAATATATTTAATGTGAATTTAAAATGATGGTCTCTACTAATCATACATGCACAACAAGCTCCATGAAAAGCTGCTCATTGTCAGAGTGTCCTCTCAGAGAAATGGGCTGCGTTTCACTTCGGTTAAATGGATTCCTTGCGTCCCTCACTTGCGTCGTTTCCCTGCGACTAGTCCCTCCCACCAGGGAAGCATGGAGAGATGCAAGGAAACCACGAGAAGCAGGGAAATTAGTTTTAAGAGCAATGGGACGTCCTTTCCTCCGGAGGGTCACGTGAAGCGACGTCCGTTTGTGATGACGCTGCACAGCTGATCGTCTGACAGCAGCTCTGTCCCCGTTATTTTCACAAACACCCCCGCCTCTGTTAGTACACATTTACTGACACAAACATTTGTATCATCTGTTGTAGACCCAAATACATTAAATAAGAACTCATTCTCAAAAAAGATAAACGCCATTCTTAAAATGTATAAACGAACATTAGTTTGATTAATATTGATTAGAGTGCACAATAGAAATAAAATAATTGAGAGAAGAAAGAGAGATATGTTATCTATCAAAACCCAGTTAGATTAACATTCATTGGATTGCACACTTTGTCTGTTTGTGTGGATATGTAGCACATTAACATGTTAAATAGCACTTAATGACTGACTGAATGGAAATGACAATAAATGAAAATGTAAAACGAAAAAA